GGTTTATTAATCGTCACGTCGTGAGTCCTTTTGCTTAATTATAAATTCGCCCTTGTGGGCGGTGATCGTAGCTCCTATCATCGCCCCTTCCTCGTACGTATTGTCAGTATGCTACACCAGCGCCAGAGTGCTGGACGTGCTTGGGACGTACGTAGGTACTGCGACCCCCCCCCCGCTCGACAGCAAAATTTTGTAAAAAAACCAGAAATTTTTTGGGAAAAAATAGACAAAGTGGTAGGAGGTTGGAAAAATCTAGGGAAGAGGTAACATGGGGAGGGGGTCGTACTTGAAGATGGAATTAGGGGGGGTCGTATTTTTCAGGAAATGATCACAACGCAATGGCGTGCCCTGGGCGAGAGTCGAGATAACGGCGTAAGTCGCAGGTGTGTGTTATACGCACAGTTCGGCGACGAGGGGCTGGGGAAACATGGTACACTTTAGCTGCTTCACTAGTTCCGCTCTAAACAATCTGGTGAAACCTGTGAACTCTTGTGAAGCTGGAGCAAACAACGAGTCACCATGATTAAAACTTGTCAACTTTTGCAAGCTCTTGATAAGGCTCCCTAGAATAGTCAACACTTGGATGGGATGTAGCAAAAGTGCGAAACGTCCCCCCCCCTCCCCCCTAAATCGACGAACTGCCCAATTTCCATATAGCTGTACCCCTTTATCGAACACAATTCCTAAGCAGCAAAAGGACGTGTCCTCGCAATGGAACACATTGTCGCTAACGCGTTGAGGCATCGGAACATATATTATACTTTATTAGGTGTTGTTTTCAAACCCACATTTCACGCAATCGACAATCAACACAAACTAAACAGAAAATAATCTTGAATACTGCAGTTAATTAATAGCAAACTATAGAATTCAAAAACAATTTCCAGATGAAAAGACGCCTCTGAAAACAATAAAGAACGGCCAAGCCTGAATTCACCAAAGACGAGAAATCACAGGTTTAGGAAAACAACCGCGTGCTGAGGCACACACAATCTTTGAAGAAAATCAACATTATACCGGTGACCGGTTAATTCGCAACAAATTTATAAAAAAAATACGTTAGAGCTCTGCTAGAGATGGGACGACGGGACGAGAACAAGTGGCAGCCAAATTTAGTGGGCAATTGCACCAACATCTTCGATACGAGCTGGCATATGAGCTTTCTTTAAAAGTTCCGTTGAGATCTTCAATGTCTTGGGTTGTTCCCAAGGGAAAGCATTGTGACCAAAGTGACCGTTCTCGGCGGTGGGCTCGTAGATAGGTCTTTTCAGTTGGAGTTCCCTGAAACATAAATTTTCAAATTACAGAAAGAGAGACCACCTGCAAGCGATACTGAAACTTACTTAATGATCATTCCAGGCCGCAGATCGAAATTGTCGTTGACAATCTGCAGCAGTTCCCGCTCATTAAGTGCAGAGGTTCCAAAGGAAAACACCATAATGGAAAGAGGTTCGGCGATTCCAATGGCGTACGACACTTGAACAAGACAACGACGGCAAATGCCCGACTTAACAAGGGACTTGGCAACCCATCGTGCAGCATAAGCAGCTGATCGGTCCACCTATAAAAGCTTCCATACTATTAAACTATTAAATTTGAAAATGAAATAGATTCTACCAACCTTGGTGGGGTCCTTCCCAGAAAATGCACCACCTCCGTGGGCACCCCATCCTCCATAGGTGTCAACGATAATCTTGCGTCCAGTGAGTCCTGCATCTCCCATGGGTCCACCAATAACGAAGGCACCACACGGATTCAGATGGAAGACAGTCCTGTCATCGAGGAAATGAGCGGGAATAACAGCTCGAATAACCTTTAAAGGGCAACTGTAATCGTAATGTAATGAGCCCAACATAAAAACCAAACTTTCGCAATATTAACTGATACACTACCTTTTCAAGAATTTCCTTCCTAAGCTGCTCTAGAGAGATATCCGGAGAGTGCTGGGTGGACAACACAACAGTGTGGACGCGAATAGGAACACACGCACCACCGTCGAATTTGTACTCGATTGTTACCTTCAAGAGACCTTTCATAAAATAATTTACAAAGTAGCAGGTTGCACCGGCCCGTATTTCGCGGCGCGCTCCTCGCGAATCACTGCAACTGCTAGCTCAACCACATTCAGTAATAGCAGCTCTGCAGCGTTCAGACTTTGTGATGACTCGCTGTAACGCCTTGTACGCGCGAGCAAGCGCCACAGACATTACAGCGCCCCATAGCTACAGACGCAGCCGCAGATGCCCGGTGCCGATCAATACTAATCTGGGTGACTAACAAGGGAATGGTTTGAACTTCCCATGGAACTTCGAATGGAGACCTAGGTACATCGATAGAGCTCGAATGCTGATTACGAATATGCAGATTAAAAGTGCTACGGGGACCTCCCAGACGAGATCTGGGAGGTCAAAGTTTGCGAAAAGTCAGTTTTGGCTCGTAAGCGCTGCTGATCGATGTCTCGGCAGTGCCACCGTGGCCTTGTGGTAACGGTCTCGCTTTCAAGTCAAACGCATGCGGGTTTGCATCCGGTTGGCGCGAAAATTTTTGCTTCACTCCCTATAAGAGCTTTATTCTAATTTCGAAATTCTTCCGAGTTTACGGCTCAGCAGGGCAAGTAGATCAAGTATATGACGCTCGATCTAGTATGGATTTGGTCATATCTGCCCTCTCTGAACATATTACCCATCCGACAATTCAAAGTTTTAGGCGAGAAACTCGTTCATGGGAGATTTCGACCCCTGAACACGAATATCACATCCTTCGACGAAAAAACGCTCGTCTGGCCAAATTGCGATTCTGGGCAAAACTTTGAATTGTCGGATGGGTAATATGTTCAGAGAGGGCAGATATGACCAAATCCACCCGGAAGAATTTTGAAAATTAGAAATAAACCTCTTATGGGGGGCGAAGCAAAAATTTCGCGCCAACCGGATGCAAACCCGCGTGCGTTTGACTTGAAAGCGAGACCGTTACCACAAGGCCACGGTGGCACTGCCGAGGCATCGATCAGCAGCGCTTACGAGCCAAAACTGGCTTTTCGCAAACTTTGACCACCCAGATCTCGTCTGGGAGGTCCCCGTAGCACTTTTAATCTGCATATTCGTAATCAGCATTCGAGGCTCTATTGATGTACCTAGTTCCATGGGAACTTCAAACCATTCCCTTGTAAGCAACACTTACTATCTTATTCCCCCATACTCTCTCGAAAAACAAGCGCTCGGTGCCTGTCGATTGAGCGTTCGCGGATGGTAACCTATCGGCCGACCGTCTGCGGCTCCATTTGCATCTCATAGCTTTAGAGCGTTGTTGCAATTGTAGCGCGACGAAGCGCGTCATCGCGAAGTCTGAACGCTGTTTTACATCGCTCGTCGACTAGCGGCGGAGTGTGATCGGAAAACCACCGCTCGAGTCGCGAAGGATGACTATGCACCTATGCGTGAGGGTAAGAAATAATCTTTTTGCTTACCTGAGACTTCGAATCAGGACGAACCCATGGGAGCTCACCACTTCGACGCATTGCATGAAGCTTTTCGTTCAACTGATGCGCTAGCTGAAGGGTCAATGGCATAGCTTCTTCCGTCTCATCGGTGGCGTAACCAAACATAATACCCTAGAAGCCGAACGTTTAAGACAGATCAAAACTCTCTCTCTCTACCTTTGAAACTTGCCCCAGCCCTTTTAGAAATTCCACTTGCATAGACAACAAACATTACCTGATCTCCAGCGCCTACATCAATCTCTTTCTTGTCAGTATGTACACCTGCGGCGATTTCAGGACTTTGCTGCTCGAGGGCGACCAAAACATTGCATGTCTTGTAGTCGAAACCTAAACGGAGTCCTCTATGAAAACGAACAATATGGTAGTCGCTTTTCGAGCAATTTCGACGAAGAACACAGCCTTTATTAGGACCAGTTTTTATACCAAAAATGACCATACCAGCTGTTATCCCCTTATCACTCATTGTTTCTCTTGCTACAGCTTGAGCTGAAAATGCATGCTAAGCTGCTCAACTTTTCATATTTTCCCCAGGTTCATTTAGATGTCAGACAATATATACACACATAGCTGATCCAAGGAGAGTTTTTTTAAGGGAACGGGGCTCTTCCATGGTTGAGCCGTAGCCGAAAACTGAAGCAACTAATTTGAGGCATTAACAGTCATTCTCTGTTCAACCGAAACGGGACGTTTGTTTGGTTGATGAGTCTTGGCAAAGTTCTACCTCGCAGAGGAAGTTCAGAACCTCAACTTTCTCTGATTTCAACAGACTTCTTGGATTGTCACGGCGCATCGAAGAAATAAACTAGAAAATGAGCCAAAACGAGCAAGGCCAGACTACTATGTTTAAATGCAAGTAAACTTATTCCGAACGATTCCGAATGATTTTTCTTTTAGACAGGAAACCTTCCAAAACTACGACCAAGTAGAAATACTTTTTAGGAATAACCTGAACATTCTGTAGAGGTACTAAGACCCTGTGTGCTCAAAACCCAAATCATTCTGATTGTAGACTACACTTATCGAGAACTACAGGGTAGCCTTTAAGGGTATCATTCTATGAATGACTACAAGCAGCTGAATGGTAATAGAATTAAAGCACTACTGAAATATAATTATTCTGAGTTTTTCTTTATGGCTTTGCCGAAAGAGAACGCCCGTATTGTGATCACGAAGACGACATTTGTTTCTAACATCGGCGCCACCTAGCACTATAAGCGCCAGTTAAGCGCCAGTTTGCCGCCACCGTTTTGCTTACCGAAATCATTGAACTGAACTAGCGTATGGTTATTTAATTGACACTCCCACTGAGCATATGGCATTCAGTCTTGGCGCTGGCACCCTGTAGGGCACTCTGATCATCTGGGCTATGCTTAGGTTGATCTTGGAGGGAACGCAATTACTTCCTCTCCAAGCAGCATGGCTCTGGTATCAAAAAGAGGATGCTCCATATGCGACCTAAACTCATCATGCAAGTTTTTATCGCTTTTGGTGAAAAAGGCTCGCACCAAATGGCGCCAAAGCTGAGAATAGATGTGATATTCGTGATCTACCCCGTGAACTTTCAGCGGAAAAAAACTTTTTCTGGGTTTTTTAGGTGTTAGTAGTTCAATAGCCCCAAAATTAATTACTCAAACAGATCACGTGAGAACTCGAGCAATCGCTATCTTTTAGGGCAAATAACGGACCGATTAGAGACTAACCAGGAACAATGGGATTCTCGCGATAAGCAGAGTATTAACTGCGTAATAACACCAAAGTTCCGCCTGACGTAGCTGGCCCTTTCAGAAGGTTTTATGTATTCCATGCAGATTTTATAGTTCCTTTTCTCATTACAGGTAGTAGGAAGGAACCAGATTATTTCTAGTTCATTTGACCGTGGCCCTCAGTTCCCTACGAATAGGTTCGAATCTCTTAACCGCACATACCGTCGCGCTTTGGGAAACAGGTAAATCGCCGTTCAAGAAGAATGCGCTGCTAAGGAATATAGGTATCGATCGACGTCTGTGAAGGTAGAAGAGAAGCACATTGCGCGACAAACCGTTAAAAAATAGTAGCATCCGCAGTACAACTGCAGGAGACCCTTCTCCTATCTTCCCATTGCAAAGTATGAGCGAAGGTCAAGGACCGCGGATGCCCGTGAAAAAGCTTCTTGGAACCCGGAGACAAGAAAATTCAAGAAACCCCTCTCTATTATCATGCTCTCCCATCTGTTTAAAAGGCTCGTCCTTTGGTTCTAGTGTCCTTCACGAAATATCGAAAGGACCCACCACACAAAAACACGTCGCAACGCCAAGCCGGTCATCGACTGACTTAGTTCATTAGGAAAAAACCACCAACCCTTGCTTGAATCGTCGTAGCCGATTTTCTTGACAACGTCACGAACAAGCGTCTGATAATCGATATTTGCCTTAGATGTGATTTCGCCACACAACATGATCATACCCGTTTTAGTTACCGTTTCTGTAAGCAAAGCAACTGTTAAACGGGTGATAAATCAGGTGTGTGACTGGCACACCCACACCCAGCATTGTCATTTGCCATGACGCTCTGAAATATGGAATATTATCTCTCATTCATGGAAAACGGACCACTACTTAAAATCAGAACTTAGCACTCATCTCCCTACTCGAGAACCCGATTCATTGCATGTCATTCGATCTGCCGATAACACAGATGAGACGTCTCACCCACTATTAAGACATACTAAGTAGTCCGTGTAATTAGGAGACCTGATGCTCTGATTGGCGCAAGTGTAGCAAAGGTCCATTATTTATTAGGACCAAGGCCTGCGTTCATACTCTCTTCAGCGTCCACCAGCGACTAGGACAGTAAGGTACCGATCTAGTGAACGCCAGCGTCCAGGATTAGAAAGCGTGAGGAAGTAGGAGGGTACCAGATCCGCTTGGATTAGGCGTCGTGAAATTGGGGCTCGTGCAGCCATGCCGTACATCTGTTAAACAACAGAATTACTCAATGTTTATGTACGGTGAGGTGCAGTTGACCGGTACGGTTGCACATGCCGCACGACGCCTAACCCAGCTGTCTGCTACCCTCCCCTCCCCATACTCTCCGCCTGGACGCTGGCAAGCGCAGGTAGACGCCGCCGTTCGCAAGATCGATATCTAACTTTCCTGGTCGCTAGCGCTGCCGACAGCTCGGAACGCTGATGGTCGCTAGTGGACGTTGACGCAAAGTAGGGACGTCAATGACGCCATCCATCTCTTGACAGGTACCACACGATTGGACCTGTGCTTCCACAGCACTTCTGTTTTTTATGCAAGTTGATCATAGATTTTGAAGAATGGCTACTGAAAGAGCTGGTTATGAATATTCAAAAGCGCTCAAAACGGTGCCCCACATAATTCAGCACCGCATTACATGAGTACGTCCATAATGCGCATTATTTATGGGCTTTTCCAACGTCGAGAACGCCCTTGAATGCGCATACGGTAGAAAAACAGAGCTGGAAATCTCTTAACTCATCCCAA